ATCTCATGCTGTCTTTAAAATATGCACTTTCCCTTCACACAAAGTGGTTTTTGCTTGTGGGAAAGATGTACCATCAGCTAAATGAACCAAAACATTTTAAAACTTTTCTTTACCCTTTTACCCTTTTCCTTTCAAAGAGAGAAAATTAGGTCTTAGCACGTTAGGTTCTGGGAAGCACGTGGATTTTCCAATAGGCTGGAATGAGGCAATTATGCTGTCTCGGTGCAAATGTGATATTCAAGAAGGTACAATTTTCTTAAATTATATTTCTGTTAATTACTTTGAGCCTTTCTAACTAAGCTGTGAAGGCTAACTTGATTGCTCTCAACTATGAAATTTGGAATAAAGCCAAGATGAAAATGGTTTCTATTTCCTACTTCAAGAACAAAACTTTAGAAAAATATACTGACATTATCAATGAAGTAGCTATATTTTTTATCTGAGCCTTCTCTTTTCAAGTTTAATTTGTTAAATTGCAAAATCATTTCCATTTAAGCACCTTTCATCTTACAGTTTTTTATGCAACATTTCTTTATAACCTGTCTCAGTAATAGCAGAGAATATTATTAAAATAGAATTTAATGATCTCAAATTGAAATGCTTTAAATAACGTCTTGTTGTTACTTTTTCTTAATTAGTCTTATTAATAAAAATGTAGAATTTTTATCTTACATTTGAAGGCTTTTAAAATAAAGGTGTTAACTATTTTTTTGCTTGGTTTTCCAAGCAAAAAACGATTATGCAGTGATCCTGTCTATTAGTCTGTCCCCTCAAAAACTTCTGGATGCGCTGACCTACTGTAATCAAACTTGAGGTCTTATAACATGAAGCTCTTACTAGTTTTCTGAAAATCAGTGGCTGGCTGGAGAAGATGGACCTTACTACGGTATGCACTGAGGGAGAGTTATAATTCAGAGCCCTATTTGTTTTAAGAGGCGGGAGTCAGATGGCCAGTCACCATGTACATACTAGCTAATTGGTCAGCTCTTCATTAACTCCAAACCAAAGCCAGCAAGTCCTGACCACTAGTCAGTCAAACAGCCAGGGACATGAGAAACAGCAGGGAAATACTGTGATGAAGAAGAAAACGCGACGGCAATAGGATTATCCTGAGGGTACTACAGGTGTAGGGGAAGTGGCTAGATGTCAAACATAAATCCATAAAAAGCAAGGTTTCCTGTTATGCTGTTCCTGGAACAACTCTCAGACAAACATTGTTTCAATCAGGTTTGATAAAATCAAGTAACGGAAAAAGGTATACACTTACCTGTGCACTAAAGCATCTTTACACATTGCACTTTACCTAGAAGATTTATGTAAGCAAGGTTTTATTAAGTAATTTAAAATAGCCTTCATATATACTTTTGCTTTTTTGGCAGCTGAAGTGCAATAGACAGACTAAAAAAAAGGTGATTTGTCCCTGCACATAGGAAACAGAAATGATGGATGAATGTGTATACAACGTCTATGATGTATAGTCCACAAGGCTGATGTGTAGGACAAAGCAAAGTCACTCTATTTTTATTCTGTAGGAGAAATAGTACTCTGCGTTATTTTAGTCTCAGATGTGGGGTCATTCCAAAGTAAAATGGAACTTCAAATAAGTCTGCATTTCGAACCACAGTTTGCCATCCTGTGATATGGTAGACCACAAACAAACGTTCTCCCCACTTACGACATTATGAAATCATAATCATAAAGTCTTTTCTTCTACAGGTTTAATTTTTCAGTGTACTTCAAGCAAATGAAAAAGCAAATGTATAAGGGAAAAGGAAATATAGCTGTAGTGCAATGGTGAAAGTAGTATCTAAACAGGGAGTTCTGTCCTCATGTTTTCTGTGTGTTCTTGTTTAGTGATACAGAGAAATCTCATATGTTGTTCTCCTAGTGATTTGCAGGGTTTGAGTAAGATGCTGAAATCTGAAGTGTAGAAATGCCTTTTTGTCTTTTAGCTTGACCTGTATTTGATTATGATAGTTTTGTTGTTTTAAGAAAATAGTAGTGTGCACAAAATTAAAGATGTGTTTACACCAAGTAATCAAATAATCAATAAGCCCCATTCAATAAATTGGAGTAAGCTAAGTCAGAGTGGCATTTTGTTTATATATGCTCTGCAGTAGTTACTGCCTTACAGGAAAGAGACATTTTAGGAAGAAGCTTTTAAAATATTCGATCACATTTAAAAAATACTGAAGTCGATAGCTGTAAAACTTCAGGATGAGAACCCTGAAACTGGGCTCCCATGTGAACAAAGGTCATATATATTATTGTTATTGATCTGTTGGTTTGGAATAAAACCTAAGAATTTCAAGGATTTCTTTTCTACTTATAATTCCACAGTAGTAATGGTAGAAAGTTTTGGACACTTCCATTATACTGCAAAATAAACTTTTGTAATTGGTCTCAGAAGTCTACTTTTAAAATCTTATTGGGGTGGAAAGGAATACTGTGTTAATAATATATGGATCTTGTTTCCTGTCAAGGCAGTTATCTACCCTTTTAAGTTCAAATTAATCCTGAAAACAAACTAAAGAGTGGATCTTATCATCTTTGTGGGCCTACAGAGATGTGTTATATATTTAAAAAATAACAGTACAGTTTCACTGAGCCATAAATCCCATTTTTGGTCACTTGTTTGTTGGGTGTAACCTGCATGAATGTCTCTTAGACCACATAACTACAAAGGAATACACAACTGTAAAAATCTTCTGCTCTTAAGAATCTTCTGAAGCAGAAAATGCCTGTTTGGAGATGCAGGAGCTTGATTCAGTTTTTCAGTAATAACGCTCCTTTCCCTGGCTGTGTGTGATGAAAGCTTTAAGATAATTTGGAAATCAAAGATGAATTCTTTTTTCCATATGCATATTTTAGAGAGGAAATGAACCTAAGAAATTTATAGATCTTCTCCTAAGAGGTAATACAGAGTTCACAAAGCTGAAGCTTGGACTGTGGTTCTAACTCTGAGGGTGCAGTTCATCTGACTAAGAGCAGACAAATACATTTAGGCTAAAGGTCTCTCCTAAAAAAAGTACTTTTACAGAGTCACAGTTCATCTGTCCATTTATGCAGTAGGGGACAATCCAGACAACTGAGTTCTCCATAATGATTCAGCTTCACAGTGCTGTATCAAGGTACCTGCACATACACCCAACTGCTGGGAAGGAAATACATGTAGTTGACACCTGGTACCCAGCAGTAGCCAATTTGCTTTGCAGATCTGTTCCTATTGGGTCACAGTACTTGCTAACGTAGATATAGCCATGAATAGAGAGCTTACGTGTGGAAGGGGCCAAGAAATTTCAAGGGTGCAGGACAGAAGGGGACCTGGGTCAGGTAGCTAGGACTGTACCAGAAGTAAGAGCAGAACTACCTACCTATGCTTTCTCAGCTCCTCACTGTTTAAAGAGAAATGGGAAGATAAGAGATGGCGAGTCAGCAATTCTGCCAAAGCCTCCATCTCCAGCATACTTATGCATATCAAAAATGTCCCATACCTTTTACTAGAACGAGAGTGTGCATGATATTATGAAGCTCACCATCATTCACGTGACTTACTGGAAGAAGATCAGGGCCAATATTGACAGATTTCTGTAGTAATACAGACATTTTCTTGGACAGGACAGTGAAATCTTATCTCACACCAGAAAATAACAAAATCTCTCTGCTTCCTCAACTTCTATTTCCTTGTTGTCCCCCTTCTTCAGGCCCCAAATTGGATTTTGACCAATTGATGACATAGGCTAAATCCTAGTCCAGGTTATGTTCTGATGCAGGTAGCGCTGTGCCAATAACAGCAGCTGCCACAAAGTAGTCCTGTGCTAGATGGGAAGCCTCTTCCAGGTTCAAATGGAGGTACTTGGGAAACTTATGAGTGCCTTGTGCACTTCAAAATATTGGGCTTGTCATCCATCTTTCGTAGGACGGAGTGTGGAGAGGTCAGGTATCCTCACATCTGTTACGAATCCCTTTAACTCTCAGCATCTCAATCGTTGAAGCTATGCTGATATATGGGAATTCAGCATACCTGTATGCAGTTAACCCTGTTCTGTTCTCAGTCTAGGCAATTCCTTGAACTGAATTTCCTGAACAGTCCAGAGGTCGATAGGCACCCATGGCTGTACCAACCAAATGCTTCTCCCTCTGGTTCCATGTGTCATAAATGGAGCCCTGGGCACTAAATAGGAGCACAGGTGCAGAGCAGCTTTGGTGCTCTGCATTACCCAGGCCAAGTTATCAGCTTGGCAGGGGAAAATCTTCCATAGAGGTGATTCAACCTAAAGCTTGACATTTAATCTCTAGATGCTTGTGCCTGGCTGGACCATCTATCAATGTCTGCTACATTAAGTCTCCAGTACAGTGGTCACACTAGCAGGAACTCAAAGGTATGTCCAACCTCTTGCAGAGATGCATTTCCTGAGAGCTCATGATTTCTAGCAATTATTTAAAAAGGAGTGCTGGTCTACCATGTCTTCTGGTGTGGGCAAGTGGCCCTGTCTACCAGCAGTCAGGGACGAGCAAAGCTTTTTAGAGCTCCATCACACAAACCCAGTTCTGCTGGTGAGATTCCTATCATTGACACCAGTAGAACACTGGCACAAAGTGAAATTACAAACGTCACCTTTGAAGTAATTCTTGCTGCTGCTGCAGCAGCTCCCGATGATGTCACTAATGTCTCGGCTACTGTCAGGCATGCTTGTCAGGCATGCTTGTCAGGCAAAGGGAGATAAGGTGAGAAAGGAAAAGCCCTTCCCCACAGTATCCCTGAACAAAAGCCTGCTGAGACTGCATTGAAGTAGCTGAAATTGTGCTTGGCCTGTCATCTGGCTCTTTCTCCAGGAGAAGGACCACCCAAAAGACAGCATAACAAATGACCACAGAGATAAACAGGCAGCCCTAAATTCTAGGTTGTTTTTTTCTCTTTTTCTGTTTTGATCTTTCTTTACATTCTTCTTTACCTTTTCAGCCTATATTAAATTATTTTCTACTTTCATCATACTTACCTGTTTGTGTTTTCCTTTTCATCTGCTGAATCAGAGCTCCCTTGATTAGGGCAGTAGTATATGACAACAACTTGCACCTGATGAGCCCCAACAACACTGTAGCACCTGTCCTGTCTTTGATGTCTGCAGTGCTGGAAATCCACCACTCTGTCTCTTGGTATAACCATGGGTTAACAGGCCCCACTCCAGGGTCTTCCTCGAGCTGCAGAACAGTTGCTCTTCACCCCAGTCCAGTTTTTCCTCATCCTCCTTTAGGGTGGCTGCCATTCCTCAGCCTCTTGCCCTGCAGGATCAACAGATGGTACTTGAAGATCAAGCACAAGGAACACAGCCATATTTTCAAGCTACCAAAGGCAATCTACCATGGAGCAGATAAGCAATTGTGAATAGTTTTAGTGCTGCTTCACACTTCAGTGTGCCGGATGAGAGTGAGAAACTAGGGTTGCAAGATAAGTGCACTGTCTCCTGAGAAGGAAGGAAAAATAGGGAAGAGAAAAAAAAATTAAAGCCCACTTTCACTGTAACCACAGTCAGTCCATTATGCCTTGTGCTAGCAAAGACCAGGTCAGGATGACATCCCTGAGGCCTATCCTTGTAGCTAAACTGAAGGAGAAAGGTGTATGCATTGGCACAGGCATGCCAGGGCATCCTTACAGGAGCCATCTAACCTCTGCTATGCTGAACTGCAATATTTTGGCATTTTAAACAGACTGAGCAACTCAGCACGTGTATCTCTAGACAGCAGCTGGTTCCTAAAAGTAGCCATCAATTTGTATCAGAAGTTTTCTAATGGAAGAGATGGAACTCACAGAGTTATTTGTGGATATTGATATTTGTGTTGTCTATTGCTTTGAGTATCCTGGAGAGAAACGGTACATGGTCTGGTTCTGGGCCTCAGATCTACTGAAAAGTGAATGAAAAACACGGAGAGTTTTCTCAGAGCCTTGACAAAATTTCAGAGGATCTTGGAAACAATGCCAGGATGCTCACAATGCTTCTTGCTCACCTTCTTCTTGATGGAGGTGGCAATGTTGATGACATGCCGGGAGAAGAAATGGACCTATTTCAGAGGAGGGCAGAGGGAAAAACATATTGCAGGCTTTGTCAGTGGGTTTGAAAGCAGTGGATCATGGGCAGGACATCCTCCAGTGTTGTATCCATATAGTCTTTCTTTTCTTGCAAGTGGTATATGACAAGAGTGTATTGCCTGGCAAACACGGCGGCATGCTTTGGGTGGCTGACTCCAGTATTTCATTACCTGGTCTGTATTAGTCCACTTCTGCTCACTAGCCCAGGCTTTTTAAATTGAACCTCATGTCCTTCATGCTAGCCCAACTAAGTCCCTCTCTAAATGGAAATTTCCCCTTGCCCTGGAGTACTATCTCCCATCAAACCCTATATAACCTTTCTTGCTTTCTCTGTTTTTACACGACTAGAGTTCCCACAAAAGTCTGCTTGCTTTCTCTCTTTTTCCTGCTGCTCACACTGTTGCTGATCCAGGCATCAAGCCAGGTGTGCCTGAATGAGCGTACTTTATAGATTGCTATCACCTTGACAGGCGCCTCATTCAAGAGATGTCCAGCTGGTGGGTAATGGTCCTTGCCTGATGAAAAATAATGGTTACGTAAAGAGCAAAAGCTTATTGTAGATGTTAGTAAGCAAGAGATGAATCATGACCGTTTTGGCCATGGTTTAAGTGCCTAGAATAACATGGGTGTGTATGGAGCGTCTATGCAAGGGAAGCACTCCAGACATGTTTCTTCATAGGCACATCCGAACGTAGCTGTTTATATGGGTGAAGACAGCATATGTTTCATGAATATAGAGGGGGCGTCCAGGTAAAACATCTCCAAACAACAAAACCTCTAAGGCAGTACGAGTAACCTACTTTTAGCAAGATAAATTGTACCCTGACTTCCCATCTCACTTGAAATCTCTAGGTGCTACTGTGCTATAAATAATAACAGCACTCTTATATTCTTTTGACAAGTGGAGGAGGTTGAGAAATTGACTGGGAGAAAGACTGATTCTTTCATCGTATAACATATGGATGAGCAAGATGGGGGACACAATGTGCTGAACTTGGAAGATTTGTGTGGAGCTGTGGTTCCACTCATCCTTGCAGAATTTGTATGATTTCTTTTCCTACAGAGAAGCTGGCGGATTAAACAGTTAAAGATTAAAGCACAGTGACAGGCAAATTTGGGGAAATTTGAGTAGTAACTGCCTGGCTAAATTTTGCCTGTGAGATTCATAAAACTGTCACTTTCATGAACATAAGATTCACACGAATTATTAGCCAAAAACTGAGAAAAGCTATCATTTATTTTCTCAGAAAAAATAGTTGAAAGAACAATTTAACTGTCTTTTCAACCATAAAAGGCAAACCTACCTTTTCAGCCATAAGTTAGTATGGCTGCTTTCACAGACATGGTAGAAAAATCAATACATCTAGCAGAAACTGATACTACATACACTTTCTGAAAGTTAATATTATCCTCAGAACAGATTTTATCATACCTTCTCAATAAACTCTTTGACATTAATTCAGAAAATTTTGTATAAAACACGTTAACACTTTACCATTAAAAATTTAATAATTGTTCAATATAGCTTATCAGAGAGCGCGTCAGAAACCTGTTGTTTTACCTGTTCATAATTTAGCAAGCATTTGCTTTTTGGGGGACATGAATATAGTGTATATGTATTATTAGCCAAAAACTGAGAAAAGCTATCATTTATTTTCTCAGTCCAGTCATATTTGTTAGACTTCCATTTGAAGGACCCTGTGGTTTTTTGCTATTTTTAGCTCATGTTATAATATGTATTTATTATCTATACTACTACATGCTCAAATTTCTAGAATCCTAAGAAAGATACTGGAAAAATACAGTTTCCTCTTTGACAGAGTATTTAGCAGAGTAATATAAAATACATATGAAAGATACTTTAAAGCATGCTACTGCCTGTTTGGATTTTATCGTGGTTTAATGATGGCCCTTCTTGGTAAATTATTTGAACTCTTTATTCTTCCATCTGCACTATCCATAACCAAGATATGGAAAGTGAAGATATCTTTTTTAAAATTCAGCAGCAAGAATGATGCTAGGGCAATACACTTGGGATTAAGCAAGATGAGACCTTCATCCCCTAAAATCTGAGCAAATATTCCAGCACAATTTAAGATTTACTTTATACGTATCTCTTTATCTTTTCTTGAGTCTCAGAATCATTCCTCTTTCCATTTTTCCTGGTAAATCAGTCTCTACGATTCTTCTGGCAGGTAACTGCAATACAAAGAAACAATATAGTAAGGATTGCTTCAATGGCTTGTCTGAACAATTAAAAAATGCTCCCTTTTTTTTTTTTTATAGGACATACCATCGATACAGTGTTTTTGCACCTTCTTTTTTGTGTACCTATTAAGCTTCCTAAAATTGAAACTATGCTCATAATTTAAATAACATTAAATTGTGAGTTATTTGGGGAGTTTTAGGTAAGAGAAGTTCTGCTATTCTCTATTTGTCATCTAGAGTAAAAAGATTTACTGTCCCCGCCCATCTCTGGAAGAACAATTTTCAGATACGTCAAGTCTAGAGTTCAACCACTTCTGAGTTATCTATTTTGAGTAATAAAATATGGAGAATAAAGTATCTCTCTCTATATATCTATAGATACAGAGAGAAAGTTCCATGTGAAGTATGTGTTTGTTCAAGCTGAATGGATTTTACCCAAACCTTTAAAAAGATACTCACTTTTCAGCATTGCTCAAGCATGGAAAATCCATCCCAAGAGAAGATTTTATATAGCAAATGGACAGCTACAGATAAACTGTTTTGCCGTCAAAATTATCAGCCACTGATTTATGGCAGCTAGATTTAAATTAGTGGGAAAATACCTTGAAATTTCCAGAATGCTGAATTAAATGGAAAATTTATTTTGTCAAGATAAAAATCTGTAAAAAATTCCAGTGGATTGTGAGGCTAGTAAACACTCCAGGAGCACACACCATTTTCTGGAATGTTGAGGGATCACTCAGTTCTCTTTATCTGTGATACAGAGCTCTTGTTTTTTTTTGTGAGATCTTAAGTTTCTTCCATATAGAAGTTGGTTCAGCCCTGCAAGATCAACACACACTTTTAGTAAATTTCTCCACTTTCTTAGGCTTTTTTTGGTTTTACTTCTGTAAGAGGGGCCCATCACAGTGAACAGCTCATCATTTGATAAATTTACATCTCTTCCTCCTATGAAAATCTTATTTACAATGAAAGGCATCTCTGCAAAAAGATTTACCCTCTCAAAATTTCTCTTTTTAGTAATTTGAAGAATTCTTCAAGCCAAACTAGTAGAATTTTTGAGCTCCTCAGGTATTTCTTGTTTTAGCATTAGACATGAGGTAGCCTCTTTGAAGTGGGAGGTACTCCCATTCTCCTATTTGAGGTATGAAAGCAGAAACTCCATTCATTTGCTGAATGCTTTGTGTCAAGCTTCTGGATGAACAGCAAGAAAAGGGACAGAAGAGCCTAGTCCTGATCATACTGAAACCAGGGAGAGATTTTGTCACTGACATGAAGGTGAGCAAAATTGACATGAGCTATCTGTGACTAAGTGATGCTGCAAAATGTCTCCCGTTACAGGCTTGAATCTAATCTCATGTTCATTGCTGTAAATCTGAATAGAATGATGCGTGGAGTTACTTAGACAAAAAAAAAAGTTGAAGTGAAAGAGGAATCAAGTCTGCTGGATTAGTGCCTATGCAGGCATGAAACCTGCATAAAATCTGCAAGATTAAGCTTATCGCGCCTTTGGCGTTATAGCAACATTTACCCTCATAAAGCAACTTCAGTACTTTCAACCCTCAGAAGATAACAGATATCTTCAGAAAATAACCTGTGGAAAAATGACAGCCCTTTCACCTTATACAGACACACTATCACTATAATCAAAAAATTATCATTGCGCTATCCATAATAGAAAAAAAAAAAGGAGGGGAAAGTAGCCACATTATAGGAGAAGTTAGTCTCAGACACCATCTTCTGCCTTACCTATGGCTCTTCATCTTGCCTTGCAATAGTTGTCCAAGCTGCCAGGTGCTAATCGCTGCATCCCAAGAAGAGGCTGAAGAAGTTCAGTGGATGGCTCAGGGCTGTCACAGCAGCTGGTGACTTAATGTTCTTGAATTTAGGGCTGGAAGTAGCTTCAAGCTGAAAATACAGCCTACAGGAGAAGAGAGGCAGGTAGGAAGATAAGAGTTCATACTGAAATTTGCTGGAGAGATCCAGGCAATGCCGAGAGGTGTAATAGGAGTAAGATTGTTACTGAAGAAAAGGAAGGAGGTGGAAAGAGATGTACCCCAGTAAGAACTTCATAATTTTGAAGGATACATAAAGTGCTACTATTCACGGATAACAGCCCAATGAATTAAAAAATATCAAAGAGAAAAAAAAGTTCACTTAAAATGCTTTGTATATATGCCGTTTTTTAATGCAAAACAGCTTTTTTCCCATTCCTGTCTGGCTAGAAGTTGGTGAATAGGGAGTCAGAACTTTTCCTATAAGAACAAATTCTCTCACTTTGCCTGTGTTCATAAGCTCAGATCTGGGACCAAAAAATAATCTCTCAAGATGTTTATAATGGCATATATACATTACTTTCCTAGTTACTGCCAGCATACTCTCTGTCGCATACATCTGTCACAGTGAATTTTATTGCTCTTTCTGCATCTTGCTCAGGGGTCTTAAGTCCTTCAACATTCTCTATATTGTATCTTTAGCTAAATTCAACTGCAACACATTTACAACCTACTGTTCCGAAAAAGCAATACAGTTTTTTCCTCCATTTGCTTGAGGGAGTCCAATTATTCTGACATTTTAAATTCTGATTGATTTTCAGAGATTTTCAAACTCACGTTAAAGATTTGTGTTTCCTTAACAATGCCTGTATAGAGGCTATTATTTCTCTTGTTCCTTTTCACATGCTCTACAGCTTTTAACACATCTATTAGTTTGACCTGCCTGTTAGTAAAGCTGCCTTCCGGGTCTGTAAGCCATCAAATGCAGCATCTGATTCTAGTGCTTCAGAATAGACATGATTAAAATGCATGAGCATTTCACATAATTTTGATGAGGTGTTTGGGTCCAGAAACTCCCATTTCGTAGCCTAATCTCCTTTCACCGAGATGGAGGACACCCACATTTCTCTCACTAGCGTTTTAGCCAATCATGTTGCCTTCTTTATTTTAGTTTTATCTGTTTCTTCAAGTAAGTTTGACTTCATGAGTTGTGGGATTTTAATTCACAGAGATGTATTGGTTCCTTCAGCAAGAAAACTCTGGGGATTTTAATTTTTATCTTTGTCCATGGGGCTTGGGAATACCCCCCCTCCCCCCCCCCCTTACAGGCCAAAGTATTTCTATTAATTTACTACATATCATTAATGAGCGCTGAAGGATTCAGTGCAGAATTATTTTGTTCATAATTGCACCATATGTGTAAAATGTAACTAGATTCAGGGCTCCCTTACTCTAGCTTTATACTGCTACAGTGCTGGGGTAGTATTTTTGCAAAATGGGAGTAGGACAATAGTGAGTAAAATGTATACTCCCAAGGTGTTACTTATACCTGCACAGCAGATGGTTTGATGTATAAGCAAAGTGCCTACAGTTTTTCATTTGGGGTCTGTTTGCTTTTTTGACCGGTTGGATTCTTTCTAAGGCTTCTTGCTTTCCACCTGTCTGGTCTTCTGAAATCTGAAGAACATACATTCAAGCTTTACATAGAATTAAAACATAAAGCACTGTACATTACCAGTACAATCAGCATGTCTTTTTAAAAGTCCTTTTAACTAAATTCAGGAAACAAAAACAACATAGGAAAGCTAACATAGGAAACACTTACACATATTAAACTAGGTGCAATAGAAAAGAAAATGCAGATGTATAGATGAAACAGAAAAAAAATCAAAACTACTCTACATCACTGAATTATTACATTGAGAGATACTGGAATATAAGTAGAAAAGCTGAATATTTTTAAAAGTTTAATCAAATTAACATATTTAAATTCTGTTTGCAATTTAGTTAATGTTAATTACTTGTCAAGCCATTTCTGAAAGTGATCTTATACATCACGATGTAGTTCAGGTGATGATAGGGCACTGCTACAAATAGAAAAAAATGACATTGCAGTAGCCTTAAGCTTCTGCTAGCTATAGAAATGGCTATAGACTAATCTTCTGAGGTGCTAGATAGAGCAACTTGGACTACATTACAGACCAAAATGAAGTTGTTTCTGGTTTCAGCTCCAATGTATTTATTAAGCTAGCATTTCGGGAACAGACACCTAACGGCAGGTGCTCACATAATTTTTCAGGACTTGCATCCTTCATGTACGCTGCGTGCAGCGCATCAGTAGGCTGCTGCTGTGATAAGACTGCAGAGGCATTGCAGTCTTGCTACTATCATTGGTTGTCATGGCCACAAGTAGTATACAATACAAGGCACAAAGATCCAGGCAATTTTTAAACATGATACTACTACTTCCTGACATGCCTTTTTTGAAAAAAAAAAACAAAAAAAAAACCACAAGCCTTACGCATGGTGGTTAATTATAGAAACCACCTATGTACAATAACAATACCTTCACAACTTCCTGTACTACTTAAAGAATGACAGTACTTACATTGATATAACATCTAGTGACTAATTTTACAGACAGTTGAATTTCTTTTATCCTGCCACTACTGGCATGCATGTATTTCCCTGTCAAAGATCCCTTATGCATGCAAGCAAATGCAAGAGAGACTTGTTAATTACTTTATTTCTTCAGTGCCAAACATCGTTAATGACAGGAATGAAGCTACATTTTCAGGATCAGCATCTGTATATTACTGCTGAATATGGAATTTTAAGTCTTATCAAAAATAAGCATGTTTAGGGATAACTTTAGTTCATGACAATTAAATCTGGCTAGCAAGTATGTTATCCACAGTAAATGCACTCACTGGATGACTGACCTGAAGGGAGATTTTTACAGTGTAATTCAGTGTTAAGTGAGAGTTTCATAGCTATCAGCCTTTAGTTAACAGAAATCCATCTATCAAGGCAGATTGGCTGTAAGTAGATTGCAGGTTACATGAACTGTGTTATCCGTGGACCATACGTGTAGTATTTTGTTATACCACAAGAGGTCACACAATATTTATAAATCTATGCAGGAGAAAAATGGATAATGGTTCTATCTGCAAAACAGTGAAGTTAAGTTTCATGCAATAAGTAAAAGGCAAACAGAACAAATTGTAAAACAACAATAAAATAATTTTCACAGACTTATTTTTCCTGTTACAGCACTCTCACAGCCTATGTGATCTGCTATGAGCCACATCTAAACATCCTCTCAGCTGTCCCTTTCCTGCCGAAGGCAGAGGAAGCCATATGCAGTGTTGTGGTACCTTCCGAGTCACTATCAGGGTCTGATGTAAGCTTGGAAGAAGGACAAGATCAGACTCTCCTTGGCAGGGTGGGTAACATAATCAGATGATATATGATACATCAGATAGGATTACTATGATCACATAAGTGCACTTGGCAGTTCAGTGGAAAGTATTAAAGCTGCGTTTAGCTCGACAAATTGCCAGCAGTTCAGCAAAATGATAGACACAAAAGAGACTTTAATTTTGGAGAGATTGCAGCCTGAATTTGTGAAACAAGATCATTTCATAAACGTATCGTTCTGTATTTTCAAAGAATTCTCAGTGTCACATAACGATACAATTCCTGGTAGCTCACGTGGCAGTAATACTCCCAGGCAATTTCCGTTTGCTCTCACTAACTCTGAAGTAAGTAGATGAGAGTGAGCCAAAGTATGGAAGAAAGACGTGGGTAGAGGAAGGTGCAGAACTGATGCAGTGCCGCGTCGTGGCAGTGCAGGACTGGAGCAGCTTTGCTGCCGTGGGCAGTACCTGGGAAGAACGCAGGTTTGGGAGGAAGTATAAAGGAACTGATTATTTAGTGTCTGCCCTAAGATCTGCAAGTCCTCGGTAGGTACTGGCATATGCACGCTGTTTGATGCCTGCCTTTCCCACCTCCTTCCATTGCTGCCCCAAGCCCTTTGGAGGAATGATACATCACATGAAGATTATTCCTGAATAATTGTTGTCCTTTCCTTGCTTTACCTGTAGCAGGAGAATCGTAAGGCCATAATTACTTGATACACAATAGCCTATCATTTATATCATTAAAAACTGCCTAATAATGTGCCTAGCTCACAGGCTGTTATGGCTTCAAAGGAATGCTGTAGCGTCCCTTGGGTAAACAGTTCTTCTTACACTTAGGTAAACATGTAATTACAGAGAAAGGAATAACACCATGCAAGAAATGACCAGAATCACTTAAGTTTTCTTCTCAGAGTTTAAGTCCCAATGCTGTATATCATCTTAATAATTTTTTTAGTACTTGTGGTTTTTCTCCTAGGATCTCACAGAACTACAAAAAAAGGGCAAGTATGATTATTTCAACTTTATGCACAGAAAAATGGAGAATTAAAAGTTTAAATTTTCATGAAGAATAAGGAACCCCAAAAGACAAAGCCTATTTCAAACATATAGCCTCAAATAGCTTACCAAGCTTATTTTTTAAGTGCAGTCCTATATATCTTAAGGAAGGTCACGGAGTTAACCTCAGATGTACTATCTTTTATATAGTTAGTTATGTTAGTTTTCACTTAAATTTGTGTTGGTTGTAGAGCTACATAAGCCATACAGATTGGTCTGTTTTACTCTTCAAAAGAGCACTGACGGAGGACAATAATTAAATGTTTTCCATTTCATTTTCTAAAATACCTTCTCAGGACTGTAGACTCTTATGCATTAATTTCTTACAGAAAAAGGATGATCTTCTCTGCAAGTACCTGATATTCAGGAAATGTTAGTTTTATTGAAAAAAATCTCTTTGTGACCTTGAAAAAGTTATTTATACCTGTATACCTATATTTCCAACACAGAACAGACTTATAATGCTCCTGTAATAGTCAGGAGCAGGGAGACTGATTAATAAAAATATGAAAAAACAAATAACCAGTGACAAAATTAACAATCCTCTCCAAAGCCAATGCATTCCAAAATGTTAAAAAAGGGAAGGCAGGATAAGATGCCTGAGGAGGAGGATTATTTTTTAAGAAGAGCAAGGGGGTGAAACAGATGGGAAGAGGGAGAATGTGGCACATCCTACAAGCCTTATGTCAGGACAAGGCTGTAGAAGGAGATCTTGAATATTCCTCACTGTAGGGATCTTTTCAGACCATTTAGAACAATTTAAAGTTAATCCTTCACTTAAATGGAAACCAATATAATGAAGAAAGGGCATTGCAATATAATCACTATGGCTTAAGCCGTCAGGCAAATGCTGTGCTTTGTTTTAAATAATTTTCACGCAATTGAGATGCTTTTGTAGGAAGGAATGATAATAACTGAAGTGTGTAGGTAGGAGGCTGTACCCAGGGTGTCTGGAAGGCTCTTATGTTAGAAATAAAGGTATAGCATAAACAAATTGCACACCAAGGAAATGAGTTCAGTTTTTACACGGCATCACTGGGAAACACGTGATAAAACCTGGGGTTCCCAGACAGACAGAAATAGAAAGGACTTCAGTCCTTACTCTATGCTGCTTCAGGGCCTAAAAAAAGCTAGACGTACCGTGAACTTCGGGGGTTTACAGCAGTCTGAGCCAGCAACGTCGTTTTGAGTCACGTTAGCGGTAGCCACTGTAGCCTGGTGTTTTGTCTCACTGCAGTGCACCAGCTTTGCCGGAGCTCACCAAGTGTTCTGGTGCCAGGAGAGTCTCACCTGACTAGGGAAACACAGCAGGGCTGTATGGTACCTCTTTGCTGGCTGCAGCAGCAGCGTGAAAGGAAACACCCTTCACCTCCTTTGTGACCAAATCCAACATATGAAAAGGCTGCAAGTGGAAGTGAAAAAAATCACATCTAATTAGGCTAATTCATTCTGAACAATTTTCCCCAGTGAATATGGAGACAAAGGAACAGAGAACTGCTCTCATAACAGTGACTTCTGTTCATTAATAAGCATGTCTTGAATACATGGATCGTTAGAGAAAGAAATCAAGGGAGAAATGAGCGGTCTGACACCAGCACCTTCTTGACATCCTCTTAAATCCTTTCTTTGAGTCACAGAAAATGATGGGAATTTATACTGTATAGCACAGTGTAGGGATAATCCATTCCCAACCTGTACTGAGACATGTAACAATTTAAAAAAATAAAACAACATCAGTACCTGGTACTTAAGGGAATCTCCTCTTAAATTCAGATATGTCTAAGGTTTTTGAATGCAACCAATTCTCCAGACGCTGCTGCTAATAAATTATAGATACACACCTACACTTTTCAACAGCAGACTGCAGCAGCTTCTTCTGTGCCTATTTTTATTTTCCTTATTTCAAGGTCTACTGTTCTTTGTCATAGTTACGAATCCCTAAGTAAAAGTAACAGAGCTGAGCAGAATTTAGAGTATTAAACAAGTTCAGGGCAGACAGATAAAAGATATCATGAAGGTGAATCAATTAATGAAGCTTTGTTTCTGTAACATTTAGAAGCATGCTGCATAACAGATTATTAGTGTATCGAGGAGTAGGATCTTTTGGCATGCTAGAATGAGTGATAGCTGAATCACACTGGGTAATTCAAAAAACAATTTCAGTCCAATTCAGTTCTCTGAATTTGCTAAGTATCTGATTCCTGCATACAGCCACACAGGAGACGTGTTAATACAAGACGTTCTCCCTCTGCGTGAACTTGAGTGCCAGCAAAGTGAAGAGCAATAGAGTTCATGGGGCCGTTTACCTATTTGCATGACCTTTATGCTCCTTCAGCTCTCTGCTTAGGAAGTATTTTGAATGGGAAGCTTAAGACAGCTGACTTTTCCCATGAATAGGGTCAGCTGGCAGCAGAGCAGCTCTTTGAGACTATGGCCATAAAAGTATTTTGTTGCCTTATTTGTCTATGCATAGTGATTGCAAATGTATATCTATTCGGAATGTATATTTGAGTTCAAAGCCATTTTCATCGATATTCCGAAGCTGTAATCACTGATGATACTTTTCTGTAAAAAGAATATTCAGTTCCATGTTTCAGGGTTTAAACTAATCTTCAGCTCCTGGAGTGAAGCTCGTGGAAAACTTCCACATATTTGCCACCAAAGGGCTCTAGCACTGTGGTCCAAAGGACTGAGTGATAAATATAGTCAGAAACAAAACACTAGGCTAGCAGGACTTCATAAGCCCGGTCTGGGAGATCATCTAATGCATATCAATAACCCTAGAGAGCAGGTAGTTACACAGTAACACAGACATGAATTTAATTAGTTTTTAAATGCAGTTTTTCTCCCATTGATTCAGTCCAACCATTTCTAAGGTGCTTGGAAGCTTAGCATTTGGACATGTAAATCCTTGTGCACTGATGAACTTGGTTTGATACCCTTTATTTAATTAATTATTACAAATTCTCCACCAAGATTATTGCTTGTATGCAGTCCCAGTGAAGTTAGCAGGCCTCTCCTGAACTGCTGCAGATCCTTGGAGAGTAAGTGAGTGCTAAAAAAATTCTGACACAAGAAATAATAATTCTGGCACTTGAGTTACACAGCTGTAAATAAAAGCATTTTGGGCTTCTGCCGACTCACAAATGGAATCTCACAAGCACACATTTACCACAGAGGAGGGCTCTGCGTGAACACAGCGATGTGAGAATGAAGATCTGAATCCAAATATTGAGGCCTAAGTCTTATCAGCAGGTTGCCAATCTACATTACTGATGCCTAACTACACTATGTCATCACATTAAACAGCAGCAGCACTTCTGTTATGGTTAATAGTTAAGAATCGATAACAATCCTAGCTTAGGACTTCAGTTTCTTAAAGTTCCTTTCTCAGACTAAAGGAAGATCCTGTACTGGCTAGACTAGTAAGACTTGCTCTCAAACAAAAACCTGTCTGTGGTTGGATAAAACTTATGGTAGACAGAGGAGGAAGAGAACAATCCCAAAGAAACAAACTGTATAGGCCTTTTTTGAGACACAGCGTGAAAGACATTACATTCATTTACAGCACTGAATTCAAAAACAAAAAGCTTCGTGCAGATAGAATGCTACAGTGAGTAAAATCCTAATCTGAAGACTAAATAAAGACAAAGATCTTACCAATGAGTTTCATTTACCTTTTGTTTTAGTTCTCTTTGAGTCAGAAGCCATCAATATCATCAGAGCTTAAGCAGAAAGAATCTGAGACTCAATAGTTTCTGCGGCACAGCCTCGTTGTTTGGGTTTCCAGGCACAGCAGTTCTCCTCAAGTAAATGAAGTGCTCCAGCATCTTCTGCTCCACAGGGAAGATCTCCATCAGAAAAACTGGCAACAACTTTTATGTTTTCAATGTTAATCATAGCTACGTACCCTGTGAAAAAGATTGATAATCTCAGCACCAAAAGCAGAAACATTGTACATACTCTATATCTCTTCAATATATCAATACATTGCTCCTATCTTTTTTGCTTCAAGCATATGCAAATCTTATCTCAGTTTGTTTTTATTAAATTAAATTTGTTATTGATAGGAATTTAATTCCAGCATTTTAAGTTGACTTTATTTTCTGAGTACTTAACATCAGAAGTGAAATGTATTATTCTTCAGTGAGATATATTAAGCTTCAATTTCTTTGCATTCTGTACTTGGGAAGTAAAACAAAAACTAATCTAGAATGATTAAAATTAATTTTCCGTGGAATGTTTTCCTGTATGCTTCCTGTTAATTTAATCATTGAACACGTAGACTCAAGCTTTAAGTCTGGCTTGTTGAGCAGAGTTACAGTATGAGAAAAATGATTTAAAGCAATTAAAATACTCTGCAGAACCAATATGATGTACATACTCCTCTACCAGACAGATTTTTGTACAGAAAAACAGAAGGTACTGACTTGGCCACTAAGCTCAGGCATCCCAAGGACCAGGGAGGTTCATTTCCAGCATTTTGATTTAACTGTGAAAGCTCTAGCAAAACGGAGTACTGAAAATAAGAAATATCTCACTCAAAAGTTGATTTTACTTAATTCTGTTTACTTGATCTTTTTTGTTAGCAATAATTCAATCTGCAAGCAAAGTATATATAGCCATACCTTCTTAGACTGAGGCAAAGATTTTGGAAGATATACCTGTCCTTCTCTTTTCCATTCCTTCCTATTCCCTACAGATTCTAACTTGGATCCAGACTATTATTGCATTTTTGTTATTACAAGAAAAAAGCCAAATATAAAGCCTTTGGGCTTCCAGGGTTAGGGTTTTGGTTTGTGTCTCTTCACAACCGTTGAAGTCAGTGTAAGAGAGAATTATGATGCTGAACAAATGACAGAGTAATTTACATTTTAGCCAGTCTGACACAGACACTTTCCACTATGCAAGTCCCTAAAAATGACTATTGTCTTCCCCTACTTAGCTCCTTTCTTCATTTGACCAATGGTTTGTGATCCACCTTCAAATCTTTGTGCCACTTTCTTTTCACTATGAAGAAAAGCTTATCTAGGCTACTTTCAGAGGAGGAAGACAGAGAGTAAGAGGATATTCTTTTTTTCCAACAGACGTAAACAGCCAAGCTTGGTTGCTCCTTCTCAAGGATAAGGCCAGAAGGGCTGACAGTGATTTCAAAACTCCTAAGCCAGAGAAAAGTATGGTGCCATGAAGCTTTGCCTCATGCCCTGCATATGGTGCACGTCTCCTGCAGGGTCAGCGGCAGACAATGGGCCGTTGTTCCCAGCTGGGAAGGCGCAGCACAGTGCTGTCCTCAAACCAAGCCAAAGTGAGCCACCTCACATGGCTCTGTGATGTGAATTTATTAATGCGAGGACAGTTGTGTGCTAGCATGACTGCTCGGGTACAGGACTAGCTGTCTCACAGTCATAAATGCAGAGACAGAGCGTGACTGTCTGCCTCTGTAGAAATGTACAAAACCCTTCCCCAGCGACGTATATGTAGTGCATTGGTATCTCATACCACCACGTTTCCTACTCCATAGCCAGAACTTTATTCCTTTTCTGTCACCCACGAGTGACATGCACTGGTTCTTACTTTGTTGCACAGAGTTTTTACTTTGGAATCAAGTTACCACATGATTTAATAATTAAAATCTCTGCAAGCCCCACTTACCTCCAGCCTTTGCTGCACCTGTGCCACTTAAATCAGCTAACCTGAGTGCACAACTTCATTCTAAATGTACTACTTCCTTTAGAAGCACTGACAGTCTTGACAAGATCCAGAAAAAATGTAGGCCAGACCACGGTTCAGACTTACCCTCTTTCTGATGTTGCAGCAGGCCAGGGTCAACAACTGTCTTCCTCAAGCAATTTCAGATTTAGAAGAAACTATATCCTGCTCTGACCTACATCAAGGATGACTCAGCCTATGCATTAAGAGACAAAACTGGTGTAAATACCTTTGCATGGTTTGGCTGCAAGTAATCTCTGGTGTTTAGAACATCTGCTGCCTCTGTAGAATTTTTTGTGTCTTTTATTGCTACGTTTGGCAAACATGATGCATATAATAGATTAGGTCACTGTGCTCCATGCCAACAAAGTGTGTAAGAATCATCTAAAAATAGCACTATCCAAAGATGTATAGTGTCTGCCCTATTATTAGTTTTTAGCACTTCTGAACTAAAAGGCATTAATATATCAAGCTATAAATGATCACTCCTGTAAAGCTAATAATTAAAATAGGCCATATTCACTGTTTCGAAAATGGAGTCTGTTAGATATTTAATCAGCTCTTGTGTCTGACCTCTGAAGGGTAAATTTATCCTCCCAAAGCTTCCCTGCCACTTAGTTCTGTTATTTAGTATTTGTATATGTTAGTGATGGTTGCATATTAAGCATTGTCCAGACACTGAAAGAAAGATACTCTGAGGAATATATTTGGACTCTGAGGCACAGACAAGCTGCTGGAGCAAAATGAATAACAAATGGGGATTTAAAACATACATAGCTACGTGTGTGTGTATATATATGAGTCTGCCAGTTCAATAAAAGCTTCAGCAGAATATAGTGGATTTTGTTTAAGTATGTGAAAAAAGATTTAGAAATATAATTATTCTACTCCAGACTAAGACTGTTTTTCATTTTTGGTGTTATTGCCATTAGTATGCATTCAGTCCTTAGGGAGAATGGCTGAATCTGATTTTTTTCGTGTGCAAGGAAGGTATTAGCTTAAATTTGCTTTTCAGCTTCTGCTGGAGTAAGTTTGTTTTTAATGTGATCCTTCACCTGAACAAATCTCCAGTTTTAGTTGTATTTTTAAAAGTTTTTGAAATTACAATAAATTAATTCAGAATTTGAAGAAAGACAAAGCAGGAGAACTTAACTGGATTTTACTGCATGAGCTCCACATTAAAGGACACTTCCTTAAAGGGTCATCTTGGAGCAGGGCACATTTCTTCCCTATCCATGGTCTTACATGGTCTCTGTGGTAACTCTAGTACTTAGTGACTCAGTGAACTTCTGTTTGCATCTAGTAGCATTAAGATCAAATGAGCTTCCATTTACAGACATGTATTTAAGTACATGGGTTTTCCATGTACAGTTCATAAATATATAAACAGCATTGCTTTTCTTGCTCTCAATTAGCTGTTTTTTTTTTTTTTTTTTACTTTTCTCCCCTGACCGTTCTACTTCCATATCTAGTAGGTCTTTTCCTTACCATTTCTACTCCAAGTGCAGGTACTGTTAGTAATGTTATTCTGAGCGCTAACGGTTAGCTCTTTTCCAGTTGTGGCTATAACTACTCTTTATTTTCTTATAGTCACAGCAGTCCCTTGATGGCAGCCTGTTCCACCTTTTGTTTGGGGCACATAATAAGGAAGAAAAGAAAGAAAGATAAGATGATTAGAAAGTGCTCAGTATGTTCTGGTTTGATAATCCAGTGCTTTAGATAAAATAAGCTCTAAAGTCTCCATTAAAATGTGTCTTCAAGAATGCCTTTTAGAACCCAGGTCTGGCAAGGCTGATCGTCAGCAAGCGAGCCTGTTCCACCTTTTGTTTGGGGCACATAATAAGGAAGAAAAGAAAGAAAGATAAGATGATTAGAAAGTGCTCAGTATGTTCTGGTTTGATAATCCAGTGCTTTAGATAAAATAAGCTCTAAAGTCTCCATTAAAATGTGTCTTCAAGAATGCCTTTTAGAACCCAGGTCTGGCAAGGCTGGCCCACAGCAAGCGTGTGGAGATCTCTGTCCTTGCTCAGTAGTTGTTCTACTGTAAGATCTTATTAAACCTTCTTCTGACCAGTGAGAAAATGTCAGTCCAGATCCATGCAGGCATATAAGCAATCTGATTCAATATGATGCTACAGCAGCCAAGCAAAGATGTGCTGAAAGCTAGTGATCAGGAAATGGCAAGGAAAAGTATCAGATACCTCAACTAAATATAGTGCTAAGTTGTCTGCATATATGAGATAGAGAATCACAGCCTGAAACCCTCTCTTAGACTTGGATTCCTAACATAACTCTTTGCAATCACAACTGCTGCCCTTCCAGCTCCCTTCATAGGCATTTGTGAAATGGCTTATGATTTCTGTTTTTTTCCTTTATGAAAGCATTTTTTTTTCCTGGTAAGTTCAGTATATGATTGATTCTAAACACAACGTTGCTGTGATGGGGTGGTCTTGTCTGCAGCCATCGCATGTTGGGACTAAGGCATTTATTTTTAATCTGTGAGCCTCAGGTTAAGTTAATTTCTATAGGGTACTGAGAAAACAGGTAAGTGGTGAAAAACCTCCACCCAGTCCAGTTTTCAAGGCTGACAACATTACACAGGTCCTCTTCATTGCCTAGGGATTAATCTAGTTTGTGATGATGAATATCTCCATAACCAATAAGTGAAATGTATGCCGAGTAGAAATAAACTGGAATTTGTACAGGAACTACTATAACACTGTAAAATATAAGCTCTGATAGGAAATTGTTAAAACATATAATGGAAAATAAAACTTGTCTAGGCTTTAAAATCCAGTCTAAAATGTGCTGTTTTCTGTATGTTTCTAAAATATTTTTAATAGAACCTTGTTGCTATGGACCCTGTTGACCTTAACTTGTCCTATATACCACTATTAATTTCATCCCATGTGAAGTCCATATGATTTCTCCACAAAAATATATTTTAAATTTGAAATTCAGAACCGTCTGCTTGTGTTACCACTACAGCCCTGAGCCATATCCTATTTAAGTCTATAGGCATATTTCTGTGGTCCTCAGGGAACATTGACTCACATCCCAGGTCACAATGTATATTAAAATTACACATCTTAATATGTGCAAACCCTTTAGGTAAATTCTGTTAATATAAGAAAAATATGAGTGTTTATATCATAGAATTGTAAAAGGCAGAGATAAAAAGGATCCTTAGACCACCTCTTTTGTGTCTATGTTAATGAATAGTTTTTTCTGTTCTACACAATACAGCATTGACCAATCTAACTTTAAATGTTTTAGTTGCTGAGACTTGCGTGCAGCTCTTTGGAGAAACTGCTCCACCTTGTTCAGGTAGATCATACTGATAGAAACGTTTCTGATTAATTACTCTAACTCCTCCTGTGACACTCCTTTGAATTCTTTCATCCACTCAAAACACAACTTAATAAACCTATTTATCTATAATATAAAACCATATTCTTACATAGCTGACAACATCCTCACAAAAATCTCTTTAACCATAAACAACGTAACATAATTAGTTACAAAAGAAATTTTCTCTAATGCAAACTCAATAGCACTTTCTTGTTATTCATAACCCTTTAGGTGACATTAATCCAATTCTTGTAAACTTATGTTACCTTATTATTTTCTCATCTACTGCAGCTTCTTTACTGTTATTCAGCCTTGATCTTCTATCAGTGTTCAAAGTCAGGGTATATTTTCAAGTTGTGAACCCCTACTTTCATAGAGGCAAAAATACAGCTGATTAGCAGCAGCTTGCCTGTGAGCAGGAGCATTTTATGTTGCAGCACTGGGAACTCACTGGGAATTGGGGGAGACCAGAAGCAACTGCACTTCCCAGAGGTTTGCCACTTCCTCTGGGGGAACCAGGCCTTTGGTACGATCTTGTCTCTGCAAGTGGTGGTGACTTGTCACCAAGCCTACTTTGTAGGACCTACGGGATACAAATACAAACGCCTACAACTCTCCATGTCAGCAGTTCTGCAGATGAGTGGAGACTTCCGATCTCATTACAGACAAACCCCTTCAAACGCTGCATAGTATGCGGTTTAGGCCTTTTAATCTTTCTCAAATCCAAATCACAAACGGCATGTTCTCAGACATTCAATCGTTTTTGTTACTCATCAGAGAATTCTGTTTGGTTTGTTGATCAGCATCTTTTGGTAGTGAGTTTTCCACAACTAAATGTAATATCCCGTGTGAAACAGGAACATTGGCATTTGCGCTGCCCTTTTCATCCATAAGAAGATACAAGCTACATTAACTGGAATTGTTCCTGCTCTACCACACGAAAAACATATGTCCCATAGCTGTATATTAATACTTTCCAGTTACTTTCTACATTGTTTCTTTTCAGGCTTCTTCTCGTATTTATATTTGTATTTTTAATTCACACTACTCTCTTCAGTATTATAGCTTGCATCTTACAAAGTGAATCATCTTGTAATTCTTCCAGCCATGCTACTAACCTTCCTATTGCCTTTGTTTTCTATGTCAGTCTTCTCTGACGCTCGCTATATTTCTGGATCATTAATGAAGATATGGAATAAACCTTGACATAATATTGATTCTCTCAGTGATTTGCTTGAAATGTCTCCAACTTGATTCACTGACAATTCATATTTTTCTTGTTTACCTGTCAACAAATGATGACAAATCATTTTTCTTCCTTTCTAGTTAGACAAATAACTTGCATGTTACAGTAAAGCCAGCATGCTGGCGCTAAGGATATCTAATTTATTTCTCCCAACAGACCTTTAATTTTAGTAACTATGAAAACAGGTCCCCTCCATTAGAAGAAAATGACATAAACTATAACCTAGTGTAACTTTGTGGTACACAAGTTACTTCAAAATGAGAGGCAAACACTACCAGACTACTTGGACATATCTCAACAGATCCAGAGATATCTCCACCTGACCAACAATACTGGAACCCAGATAAGGTGAGTAAGTTTGGAGGCTCTTGCTATAATGGCCTGATCTCCACCATTGCAGCAGAAGTATATGGATAAGCTACAACAGTATTCCTCAGCCCTAGCAGTAAATTATTTATTACTGTAGCAAAACACAGCAAGTACGGTGGGTAATCTCAGACTTAACAGACTTCTCTTTTATGCCCTTTCTTGGATCATCTATCCCTATTATATATCTAAAAAGAAGCGTGATAAATTAGGACTTGTCCGGGGCATGGATTTTGTTAGACTTTTACATTGAACCCAATAAATCTTCATAAAAACCATGGCACACTTTCACTTGTTCTCTGGACTTTGATGCTAACTGACTCCAACAAATGTCAGCGTTTCCTGAATCTAATGGGTTTTAGTAAACTAGGACACTAATTGCCTCTGGCTAACCAATAAGTTTTATATTTTAAAAATCAATTATTATTTTATTTAGCATTAAAGTTTTTCTTTTTTTTTCTGTTCTGAAATATCAAGGCTAGATTCAGCACTAGGTTTGTTGGTCCTTGGAGAGGCAGCCAAATTAAACTTGTCCTGCTTGAAGATTTTAATGGATCTAGTGAGAGATTTTGTTTCCAGCTCTGTATGTCTTCAGAAGCAGGTAATAGCAGCACTAATTTAGATGTAGGAGGAAGTGTGTTTGTTAGAAACACTAAAGCATTTATTTTCTATACTGTGTAAAATCAAAGGTCATGTTGACCTTAGCATTTTGAGATGGAAGATAGAACAAACAGGATAGTTATTGCAATAGGAAAAACGTCTAGGAAATACTTCTGTAGTGTAAGCAAGCGGAATAACTGCTGAATGATTATTTCCTCTACTAGGTTAGTTACCCATTCACTTCTGGGGAGTTAACATGAATAAGTGTGACATTAGATTTTAGTACATTATTCAGATCCCACTATATAATAAAGAATTCTTTTATTGGAGCCTTAATCATATAATAGATTTTCTAGATGTTTGATCAAAGCTTTATATTCCTTCTAACAGGAACAGAGGTCCATGAAAAAACTATCATCCTGCCCCTGGGCTATACACATACACATCTGTACTCCAAGGTATTTGTTTAAGTACTGTTACCTCAGAGATACAAAAACTGCTTTCTTTGGATTCCAAATGCTACAAAATCAGTAAAGCATCCTGGAGAATTAAGAGGAGCAAGTTTTCTTTGAGCTTTTGCAATACCACCCTCCAGCTGACTATAAGTACCTAATAAGTCAAAAACACATTTCTGCCAGTTTTATACATATGGCAATGTTATACAGCAGAGGCAGAAGCTCAGCAACAGGAAACAGTTTGGTGTTCAGTCTTCATTTCTCTGAACATTTGGAAAGTTTTGTACAAAACTCCGAAAATATTGGAGCTTCTATTTAGTTTATTCTTACTAAAACTTCAGACCAATACCATTCACTTTTTAATGGCAATTCCATAACTCAGTTTATGTTTTCAGATTTAATTCTGAAGAAGATGACTTTACCAAACCACAAGTTGGATGATTATTAATTATTTTCTTCCAGATTGTAACACAGGAGCCCTTTGCCACACACCAAAATGAAGAAAGTAATTCATTCTTTTTTTCTTTTTTTTGAATATTTGAGAGAGAATAATGCTGAGTATTTGAAGTCATTTATTTTTTTTATTGCCAAAAGTATGATTCGTCAGCAGTAGCAGTTTTTGACATAGCTAACAAAAAAAGCTAAACACTATATTGAAATATTTTATTTAATTGACCATTTTAAGATTGAAATTATCTGACTGTCCTTTTAAGTTATAGTTTCCGTATGGCAATATCCAAAAAAAGGATAGCATACTGGCAGCAAGCTTAGGGTCAGTTCTATTGCTGAGCGATTTGCCATTTCCAAAGTAACGTTTCACCTTATTCTAAAAATAGTGTAAGTGGCTTTCAAGGACAGGTTGAGTTGCATGAAAGCAAAGCTTGTCTTCCACGTGTTACTGACTGCTTGATTCACTAAAGGAACTTCAGAAATAAACACAGACACTTAAGGGCATTCTCCAGCATCTGATGAAGCCAGTGAACAGACTTAATCAATTCAACAGACTATAAAACCACACGGAAATGTATCCCAAATATTTAGTACTACTTCTGTACTTACCCAATTTAGAATGTCTGCTTTATCTCAGCAAACGCAGAGACATTTAAATGCATTACAAACTGGAAAAGAAATAAGAAAACAAAATGTATAAAAAACCATGGATAACATTTTTGTTACAAGGCAGAGTAATTACACTGTAGTTTTTCATTAATAAAACCAAAGATCAGTGACCTGATTATTACTACCTGCTAGCATTCTTCTTACCTTTAATTTTAGTTAACACATTTCAATTCTAAATTTTATTAGCACTGGAATTATTCACATGATGTTCAATCTACTTGTAAGAATAATGGTAATTTACAGGTGTGGAAAATAATTGTACTGTAACAACAGTTTAAGGACACTTTAATTGCAGTAAGCTCATACATTACAACCCAGAATTAAGTGAATAATGAAAGAAAATCAGAAAAATAAGAGCCCCTTTCTGCATAAGTTACTTGTTTTGTTCAAGATAATTTCTTTCAATGTTTTATTGATCTGCATTGAAAGAACAACTAAAGATCTGAAAAACAGTTAATTCTTACTAGAAGAGTATTTAAAAAATTATTAGGAGAAAAGAATCTGGATATATATAGGGCCTGAAGACATGCACAAAAGTTCCTGTTTTTTTTTGCAATAGTTATGTGCTGGTCAATAGAGATCTGGAAGAGTACAAAATAAAGCGTTTTGAAGGGGTATCACTTCAGTATTCTGTATGTGGTCCAAATACATCACATATGGCATTAATATACATAATATACAAGTCACTTATTCCAGTTCCTGACTATCCTTAGAAAGTTTTCCTGATGTTGAATCTAAATCTCCCTTCAAATTTAAGCATGTCTTTTTGTTTTAAATCCAATACACATGGAGAACAACCTGTTACCTTCCTTTTTCATCTCTACTTAGACTTCCCTCTTCCAGACTCAACAACCCCAGCTCCTTCAATCTTTTCTCACAAGTTATCTTTTCTATATCTCTAATCAGTCAGATTCCTCTTCTATGGAGTCTTTTCATTTAGCTGACGTTTTCCAAAATGTAGTAGTCTGGTATTAGGTATACCAAACCTGTAATTCTTCTGAAATCTTACTAGTGCTAAGTAGACTGGACAAACGATTTCCCATGTTTTATAGGTTTGTTTTGTACATGTCTCATGTTATTTGGCTGTTTAGCAACAATATGCTACTGCTGACTCAAGCACAACAGGTGATCCTTTGTAACTGCTAGTAATTTTCTGCAGAATTGCGTTTTATTCCTTGGTAATGCAGCTGAATCTTTCTGCCTGCTTCACAGGAGCTGCTTCCTATTTCTCCTATATATCAAGGTCATTTTGTATTCCTACCATGTCTTTTAAAATACATGCATTTCCTCCCATCTTGGTCCCACCTGGAAATGTAGTGAGCTTATTCTCTACCCTATCAGCTAAATCACTGATGGAAATATTGAATAGCATTAGATTCAGGACAGACTCTGTAAGATCTCACTTGAAACATGCCTCCAGTCTGACTCTTTGAGGACTGAATCAACTCTAATTGCAATTGTACCTACTGAATGTTTTATTGCAATTCTTGTTACTTTTTTATTTATATCTTGCTGTTTTTCCAGTTATTCTCTCTTCTCTTTTTCTGTTCCTAAGAAATACAAGCTCTTTCATTATGTCATACAAGTTGCCTTCCATCTTTGTATTGCTGACTAACTCATCACCATTTGATCAGAATTAAATCTAGAAGAGACCCAGCCATGATTGCTGTCTTCTGATGAAGTTGGTCTGTGTTTTTACGGTGCCTGGCTCCGTAAAAGCTCATGGGTGCTTTAAGAACAGCTACCAAGAACAATATTATTCTACTATTGATGCAAAGTTGTAAGTTACACTCTTCTAACAGAAAATGATAGGCTGTTTTTAATGTTTTTAAAAAATTATCTGCATATTTTCAGGCAGCATAGGTTAATCAAAATGCTTAGGCCACCTTACTTATTTCCTCTAATGAAAGGCAGTGGTTCAAAGACTCCTTTCTGTGAGGGGTATCAAGAATCATCCTCCTCTTTTGTCTGCCACATATTCTCTGGGGAAAACGTCTTACACAAAAAAGCTATTATTAACCTTACTATTTGTCTAATGGGTCTATGCCTCCTAAATCACTTCCCACACAGCAATGTCAGTGACATCTGTCATAAAGAAGAAAGCCAAATATATGTGTTTTTCCTTCTGGAACCTTATTCTGAAAAGATTCACCAACTCTGCTTGTCAGACTTAAGAAAATGTTATAAAAATCAACTTCATAACAGCACACTTGACCTGGATATATAGTTGCTTTTATTTCCTTTCAAGAAAGAAAAATATGACTAAAATTTGGGGCTGCCAAAAGCTGGAGGTAAGAGAGACTTACTAAAATCTCTATTCCTCCAATGCCATTGTAATATTTTGTGGTCTATCATCACAAACTTTTCATTCTCTTTTCCTATGTGTTTCGTTCCAAACCACACCGCACAGCTCAAATTGGGGAAACAGCCCAACTGTATGAGATTTATAATTGCAGTCAACTAGAGTAAGGGCTGGAAAAAAGTTCAGTTTAAAAAAAAAAAAAAAGGAGAGGGGATGGTAGAGAGGTCAAAGTACGATTTGCAGAACCTGGAGTATGGCTCATCTGGTCACTTCACTTCATTATTTGTTAATTTAGTAAAACCTCAGCTGACTCATGGATATTTCTGAAATCCTGCTACTGAAATACAGAAAATGAAGGACATAGGTGTATCGAATTAATTCTTATGAATCCTAGGTCAAAGCATGATTGGAAAGAAGCGAGCAGCTAGCGTAAACATGGTTTTGGACTTCAAATTTCAGCAAAATCAAAAAAATGTAGTAAAACAAAAGCAAAGACAAAACATGTACTTTAAAAATTATAATATTCTGGGATCAGGTACTGAGAAAAGAGTAAACTATTTCGACCCCTTCTTTCATTGAAGTACTTGTGGCTTCACAGATATAGCTTTGTTTATAACAACACAAACTGTGTCCCATCAGCTGAGCTGTAGTAACTCATTATGTGTATGTGGCTAGCCTGCCCATTTGTTTTAAAAAAAAAAAAGAAAGCAACGTAGTTTAGATATGAACAAAAAGCATATGCAGTTGGTTAACATGTCCGCTGTGATGGATGGCAAATCAGTGAGATAATTAGAGCCAAGGACTTAGCAAGGAGACCTACATACAATACGAGATTTCAGAATTTTAAAAACAAAGATTTTAAGCATTCTTCTTGGACTAGAATAGATTGCAAACAGTGGTTCACATACAAGTTAATGGGAGTCCATAGAGCACCAATACGTTACATACTAAGATATACTTCAGAAATATCCATAAGGTTTTCCTGTAATTAGCAAATAATGAAGTGAACTGACCGGATCAGCTGTACTCCAGGCTCCACAAAGCCCTCACCCTTGTAACTAATAACGTTGATGTCTCGTAAGGCATCTGTCCACACTAGGCCTCACTGGAAAACCTCTATCAACCTAGCTTCACAAAGAAGTTAAGAATCCTATTACACAATGATTCAGCTATGAAACATCTATAGACCTTGACGGATATCAGGACTTTACGAAAATACACTGGGAAGGTGTGTCAGGTTGTGGCTACATGAAAAGGATCCTAGCTGGATCATGGAAAACAAGGATATAAGAGAAAGGCTGGCCTTCTAAAAGCATGAACACTTCTGAGCAGAAGTTAATTCCTTGCTTTTGAGGAAGAGCTTTCTCAGGCTTCGTGCTAATTTGGTCAAGGTTCTTCACGGGGTAAAAAAATATAGAGAGCAATGAATACATTGTCAGCTAATTTATTTTCCAAAGAGTTACATTCATGAAGGCACCCTACTCATAAAGATAATGAGTCTGGACATTGTTTTAGTACTGAGTCACAGAATAGTGGCATACATTGAACCCTAATAACTTCTGTGTTTCTCAGTTTCTTTTAATCTAACAGCTATCTTTAAGCTGCCCCTTAGTTAGCTGCATTTGATAAGGTCACACTCAGAAATGGTGTATTTATGATATAATTTTTATACTTTGTGTGTATATACATACTATATATACAGAATAAATTTATTACATACCAGGGACTAAGATGCTTGGCCCGTTAAACTTTCCAGCATTAGATACAGTACTTACTCCCTTGCTGAAAAGCCTGTATTCGATAATTTTTTTGAACTAGTATGGAAGAACATTATCTGCATTTAGACACTCTTTGGTACTGCACAAAATAACCGAAGAGGGCAGGTCTGCCATCTACCATCACCTTTTCATTAAACATAGTAATTGCGGAACCCTAGTGGATTTGTTATTAAAACCTGGCTTCAAGAGACTGACCTCTGAATTTACATTAGAATTTGTATACCAGAATTTTTAAAAAGATAAAACGTTATGATCAAAGGAAAGACTAAACCTCCCCCAAATGTCACATTTATTTCTGAAGGTGAAAACAGAAATAAAAAAATATACAGCTTTTGGTATTGCATATTCCTCCATTCTTTGATTCTTCAAGAAAAATTAACACAGAGTAGTAAGTATGATAAAAACAATGCTTTTATTTTTAACCTTTGGAAATATTATATGACATTAAATTTAAAAAGTCAGCCACTTTTTTTTCTTTTCTTGTTACAGAACTGATTGATTTCTTCTAAGTCATTTTTTATTTTTATATTTTTACGAAACAGAGCTAAAAACAGGGATTTATTTTAATCTGGCTAAATCTGTGAAGCACACTGCTATATTCCTTCATCACAGAACATAGCTCCAGAGGAGGTGACACAAACACCAGAGATGGAGGAAAAAGCAAATCAAAAACATTCTCATCTCACGTCAACAGGTACCAAGTAATTTTCAAATTGTTCTGTGATATATATTTTAATTCTCTGTTTACTCTCCACTTGTGTTAGAATACAAATACAACACATACACATCTACTGACTGACGGAACAGCACTAGTGAAAATTTTCACACCAGATATGGCCAGCTATGTGTTTCAGGATCCTACCAATGCTATCAAACAATAGAGCTCCATACCTGTCCTACCTACAAGAAATCTAGCCCAAG